AAGCAATTCCTCGATCGTCTCTACGCTGTGACAAACTGAAAACTAAGGCTAAGTAGGACACCAGGTACCCTCTGTGCACTGGTCAGTTCTGCAGGCTTGTGTGGTGCCCTGGAAACCCTGCAAGGTTTTGTGTTATAGCTGAACCTATGCCCACATTGGCAGGTTGAAAAGACTCAGCCACAGGAAGTAGGTTCAACCCACTGGAGCAGAGCTGGGAGCCGAGCCTGAGACTGTGGTCTCAGCAGTCTGTGCCATGCACCTTCCAGATGAAGCAGGAGCCACTGAAGCTCGTGGTAGCAAAGCCCATAGCCTTTACACTGCAGTTCTAATGGCCATGCAGCTCTACTGGTCATGCAATCTGAGAGACGGTCCCTTAACTCTGAGTTGGATCTTGAGTGGAAGCCAGGGGGCACTGTACCTTCCTATAAGGGTCCTGGTGAGGTGACACTATGGCCCAGAGGAAGACTCAAGCCCCACAGCTGGCACCCAATCTAGTGTGCCATCAGGAAGGTACAGGTTGCATTTAGACAGCGTTCAGTGACCCCGGACAAACACTGAAAGCCCCTTAGCTCTCAGGCTGCTCATCTGTCCAAAACACACCTCGCCAGGCTGACCTATGGAATCTGGACACCGAGGACACAGACCCTGGCCTTAAGAGGGGCCTGCCCTCGGTGTAATGCCTGCTATTCGGCGTTTTTACTCATTTTGGAAGAGGGGCCTTTCCTTTTCAATGCAAGCCGAGTTTCTCGTTTATTTCCTTTCTTATTTCCCAGGATGCTCCGTCCTCCTCTACCACCCCAGTCTGTATTCCCACTGGGGTCCTGGGGGCTTTTGTACAGCTCACTGCGACCTTTCCTGCTAGAAACTAGTGATTCTGTTACAGTGACTCTTCTCACTTGGTACCAGATTTAATTTGTTTGTTTGTTTGCTGGGATAGGATTTTAAGTAGCCCAAGCTGGCCTCAAACTCGCTGCTAGCTGAAGCTGACCCTGAGCCTCTGCTCCTTCTCCTTCAACTTCTCCAGTGTCAGGATGGCAGGTGTACCGCAGCAGGCCTGACTTATTTTAGGGTTTCTTCCTTTTGCGGATTTCCTCGCCCGTTCAGATAGGAGGAGCCAGTGCTGCAATGTTAATACATAAGAAGCAAGAGTCACTGGTGCCAGTTCTGCCTGATGGTGGCAGAGGTCTCAGGGCATTGATGGTGGTTGGCAGTACTTCAGTGATCTGTCTGCTGAAGGACAAGGAGCCACACAGAAAGGTGGCTGGGAACCCTTCCTGGAAGGGACTCTGCCCAGCTCTTCAGGGGTCCCTGACAGCAAGTCCTGGAAGCTCTGAGAACTGGTTCCTCGATTTCAGAGGATTTATAGCACTGAGAAGTCACATCAGCCATACCCCTGCATCCCCCACCCCACACTCCCTCTCTGGGCCCAACTTCTAAGGCCTTGCTGATGGCACTCCTGCTGAGGGATCTGGGTCAAATGGCTGGACTCGCCAAGCCTTAATCCCTTGTGTGTAAAGTAAGAGTTGTGGAGAATAAGTGCATAGATAAGCCCTGGGTTCAGCCTCCAGCACAGAAGGGAAGAAAAAGAGACCACACAGGTGACCAGGCCCTGGTTCCCCTCTTAAAAAAAAAAAAAAAAAAAAAAAAATCATGATCTTGGTGGTGTTTTGTATTCTTACAAAACTTTGAACTATTGTCTGCTCACATTCCATCGAACCACAATGTGTCTGTACTTTTTAAAATCCGATGGCATCATCCACAAGGTGAATAAAAATAAAGTCAACAACAAACTCCGGGATAGGCTCAGCCTAAGATCTCCTCCTCCCTGTGTATCTTTTCAGCTATTTATTTATCAAGGGATTTATTGGCACTAACTCACTTGACATCCTCTGCACCAGTGCCTGTCTGGAATGGGTTTTTTGTTTTGTTTTGTTTTTGTTTTGGAGTATGAATGCATAGAATAAAAGGGGCCCATGCTAAGTGTACCAAAGTGACTCCTCCCTGCCCAATCATCCCCATGTCCCTCCAAGTCTATCCCGCCTCCCACTCTCAGCCCCAAATGGTCACTGACCTGTTCTGGCTCTCCAGAACTTTGCCAATTTTTGGCATTCTGTGAAAATAAAATCCTGAGGCACAGTGTATATGTGGCTGGCATTTTCCATTTGGCATGGCAAATGGTTGGAGGGGCCAACTTGTTCCTTTTAAAAGTGATTTTATTATTATGGGGGGCCACATGTGCAGGCCAGAGGATGGCTTTGTGGAGACTGGTCATTTCCTTCCCCCTTTATCTGGTCCTGGGGTTAGAACCCAGACCCTCAGCCTGTACAGCAATGTTCTGCCTGCTGAGCTGTTTCCTCAGCCCCTGATTGCCCCCTTTAATCCCTCATGAGTGGGTTCCACTCCAGAACCATCTGGGGTTACATTTCCCAGATGACAGACATCTAGATCACCCTGTACCAATATTAGTCTCTTCTTATTCAAGTCGTGTGTGTGTGTGTGTGTGTGTGTGTGTGTGTGTGTGTGTGTGTGTGCATAAGACAGGTTTTCATGTGGTCAAGGTTCCTGAGTGCTGTGAGTGCTGCAATTACAGACATGCACTGTGGTATAGATATGAATACTTTGTTTTGGAATGGATTTTCATTTATTGATACAAATTTAAGGTCAATTTTGTGATTAAGTATATTTCTCCTCTTGTTTAGATGTTGTGTTTATATAACTCAGTTAGAAGTGCAGATTATAGATAGTTACCTATGATAGTCAAAACTTATAGTTAGGTGAGTTAGGATTTCTAGATATATAGAGATGTATTTGAGATGAATAGGCATTCTTCAAACCATTCAGAGACCTACAGAATATGGCATTTAAAATGATTTAGGGTTTTTCTTGACAGTGAGACATAACTGCTCCTGGCAACACCACCTTCATCTATAAGAAGGATGGACATTAAAGAAACACGTTATGGAGTTTGTCTCCAATATGGCAAGACTAGCCATTTGGACAAGATACTGCTCTTTTCTGGACTGTTTGACTTTATGCTGTATAAACTGGACATGCAGGACCCACAGAAAAGTGACTGCTGAAACAAAATGGACATTGCTACAACGGTCCTGCTTCATGGAAGAGTCTGCCAGACACACTATGGCCTATGGGCTGAAGATAAAAGATTACAGAAGAACTTTGAGTGACTGCCAGGCACTGAGTTGTCTCTGTCATTTCTAGAGTTTATATATTATCCTTCTGTGGTCTTTGAAGGAGTTGAAGACAGATAGTTAGATTATAGTTTTCCTTAGTTAGGATTACAGCTAAGTTACATATAAGACTTTAGACTCACAAAGATAGGATAGATGATAGAATATTTTCTTTAAATCTTGCTAAATGTTAATGGACTAAATATTGCTAACTATGATTCTTTTGATAACTGTTGTGTGATATTCTTTGCTATGTTAAGGTTAAATCCTTCTTTTTATTTAGATATAAAAGAGAAGATGATGGGAGGTGTCATTCTGTAAGTATGTTTCTCATACTGGTTAATGAATAAAGCACTTTGGCCAATAGGAAAGCAAGATAGGTGGGATTAGGAGACAAGGAGGATTCAAGGAAGTGGTAAGGAGGAGTCAACATGGAGAGATTAGAGAGAGCAGAACCACTGGCCCCTTCTCTCCGGTAAGATAAGACCACGTGGAAGTACTTAGATTAATAGTTAATAATTAAGACAGAGCTAGCCGATAAAAAAAACAAGTAACAGGCCAATAGCATTATATCTAATATAGCATCTCTGTGTATTATTTGGGGCTGGTGTGGTGGTGAGACCAGGCTGGCGGAAAAACCTTATTCATAACACCTGCACCACCATGTCAAGATCACAGCTTCGTTTCTTTCTTTCTTAAATTATTTAAAAAAAAAAAAAAAAAAAAAAAAAAAAAAAAAAAACCCTTTCAAGCCAGGCTGGTGGTAGGGTACATCTTTAGTCCCATCACTCGGGAGGCAGAGGCAGGCATTTGAGACTACAAAAGCTAGTTCCAAGACAGCCTCCAAAACCACAGAGAAATCCTGTGTCAAAAAAAAAAAAAAAAAGAAAGAAAAAAGAAAAGAAAAGAAAAGAAAGAAAACCCTTTCTATGGAGCAGAAGGAAGGGATGGGGGTCGGTGGGGGGCATGAAAGAATGGGAGGGAAAGGGAACTGGGATTGACATATAAAATAAGATTGTTTCTAATTTAAATAAATAAATAAAATCCTACCAAAAAATTATAAAAACAAAGGCGCTCATTTTGGCTCACAGTTCTGGAAGCCCAAGGTAGAGAGGAGCCACAACTATGCCAGCAAAGTCTTCCTGTGGGATCAAGTGTCCAGCAATGCAGAGAGTCGGGTGAGAGAGTGAGCTCTTATCACATTTTAGTCTAGAATTGAAATGTGAGTCTGCCTGGTTTGTGCACTTTTAGCTATCTGTGAAAGTACCAAACTGCTTTCCACAGTGGCTGCTTTCATGTTCACACCAACAATATAGTAGGCTTCTTCAAGTGAGTGTTAACTTCTATAGTCATGATCTTTAAAGCGATCGTGTAGACATCTGTCTTCCAGATTTCACCCATTGTTCTGGGAGGAAAAACAAAGGATCCATGAGCCCTCGGCATGAAAAAAACAGCAGCCACACTCCACAGTCTGGAAACTCGAAAATCCTGGAAAGCCCTACAAAGTTGCATTCCTCAAAGGACCAGCTTGAGCTCCCTTAGAGCCTGGCTGATGGACTTGGCAGATCCCCAGCCCCGCCCACTCCGCTCCAGGAGGCGGGACTTAGACAGGGAGGCGGGGCCTAGGGGCAAGGATGCGAGCAGGCGGCTCTGGATGGCCCCGCCTACCCAGGGATAGGCTGCTTCTGCCGAGGGCGGAGCTGATGGGTGGAGCTCAAAGCGTGTGCTCCTCTATAAGCCCCGCCCACCCCGGGCTCAGCTCTGCTCCGGGGGCGGAGCCTGGAGAGGGTGGGGCGGGGCCTGGCAGGGAGGGCTCCCGGCCCCAGCCCCACCCACCGCGCGGTGTTGGTGAGCCTTCCCGAGTGGGCAGCACCGGATCGGCGCTCGCGGCGCGCCATGGCTGGGCTGCTGGGGCTGCTTGGCCCGGCGGGAAGAGTGGGAGCCCGGCTTCGGCCCCGGGCCCCTTGGCTTCTGGGAGCCGCCACCTCCTGTGCTCCACCGCCCGGGGCCTTGGCCTTGTCCCGCCCAAGGCCGGACACCCGGTTGCTGCACACGGCCCGCAGGGACTGCCTTAGTCGCCAGGTAAGCCAACCCACACCCACTCGGACCCTGATCCCCAAGTAACCCAAGCGCCGTGCCAGGGCCAGCCCCCAAGGACAGCTTCGCATTGCACCTGCTCAAAATGGGTCACCTCCGGGGTCCCTGGGTTCTCAGACCCCTAGAATCTGAAAAACGTCTCTTTCAAGTGAGCATACCAGAGAAACTGAGGCTGGGGGTGGTGTGGTGCGCGGCCCAAGGTCATGGAGTCGCCTGCCGAGCCCCAGTTTAAAAAGCCAGAACAGTGGCGTTAGCGAGCGGATCGCAGGGGGTCCTGAACTCATTATGAACTTCCAAGCCGGCCTCTGAAGTTGTCCCTTTTGAAGTTCAGGCCGGGCACTGGGCCCAGGAGGCTGCTTCTCGAGGTGCCGGTGTATCTAACTCCTCCCAGTGCCGGTTGCTCCACCCTTTGTATCTGGCTGGAAGAGCGGGCTCTCGCGGCAGGCAGTCCATCCTGTTTCCTTATGGTTGCCTTCCCTGAATGCTAAGAGTGAAAACTAGCTCCCATTCAGACAGCAGCGCAGCTCAAACGGGTCTGTGAATAAAGTGGTGGAGCATTCAATTAAGTCGTGGCACAAGCCTCGATCCCTGCAGGGGAGAGTTTCCTGCTGCTCCTCCGGGTCTGGGCCCACCCATCTGTGGGCTGTGTGGCCTCTGACCCAGAGCCCAGGCCTGACCTTTCAGAAGGCTGAAACTGGCACCTTGCCACCAAGAGTCTGGAGAACCACGGCCGCGAACCAGGCAGTTCTCAGCGCTGTCTGCGCTTGTAGCTTTTCAGTGAGTAGCCAAAGGGATCGATCCTTGTCCTTGGGCGCCTCACACAAACATGGAAGGACGTCTTCCCCTCTCCTCTCCTGGGTGACAGACAGGACAATGACCTCGTCTTTAATCCCATGTGCAAGGCTTAGGTGCTTAGAGCATACCATCCTGCTTCCTGATGAATCTTTAGTATAGCTTCCCCCTCCTCCAGGAAGTCTTCTGTGACTACCAGTGTTGTCCCGCCCACCCCCACCCCCACCCCACCCCACCCCCACACACACACACCCCGCGCACGGTCTCTGCTCTGGAGCTCCAATCTTCTCTGCCTTTATGATCTGGAACAATCACCGCATCAGCCCTGTTGGCAGACCGGACTCTGCCTCCGCAGGTGTGTGCTCACACAAGGATGAGTGTGGTCCCCAGTCCTAGGATCCCTGTCTTTGTTTGCTAAGCCAGTAACCTTGATCAAATGGTCTCATGGTTCCATGTCTATACAATGGGATGTTAACAAGTCTTTTCCCAGAGGGTGAGTATGATAGGAGATAATGTGCTAACTGGCATCTGGTACATCATGCCAAACCCAGCAATTACAGTCTTCAGTTCGAGTACACACCGCAGCAAGGGCCCCAAGAGCCCAGGAGACAAGCTTGTCTCTTCTGCCGGTCAAGCGATCAGAGCGGAATCAGAACCTAACAGAAGGTCAGAACAAAAGATACTCCTTGAGAAACCAGCCGTGGGGGAAGGGCCTGCCCTTGGCCTCAATTCAGCATCCCACGCCATCTATCTCCGCCCAGCTGCCTTCATTAGAAGGCCAGCTGGGTCTCCAAATGTTCTAGACATTAAATCAGGTATCTGAGTGGCATGCCCACGTCTGCCTGCAGCGGGGACTACTGTGTGAGGGGGATACTAGGCACCAGAAGCCGGCCTTTCCACATCACATGGTTCAGGGTCATGTAGACCAAGTGAGAGGAGCCCACTGTGACTCCGGGGGTGGGGGACACTGTTATGCGGGTGGCTTGCCAGCTTCCCTTATCTAATGTGCAGCATCTGTCCCACTAGCTCCTCCTAGCGCCCTGTCCTGGTGTGTCCCCTCCCTGGTGTCACTGAGTGTCATCCTCTGCTGCCTAAAGTCCTAGTCTCCTTTGAGGCTGCTCTGTTTGGTTCATTGGATTGTTCCCGACTCCGGAACACTCTGACCCAGAGACGACACGGAAGGCTTAGTTGGGGACTGGGGTCGGGTTAACCACTGTGCTGTCCTTGGTCACATACTCAACCCCTGGGGCTTTGCAGATCCTCTTCCGTTCCTGGGGATGTCGTGAGGATTGTGTGGACTAATGTCATGGCACCGGGAACACTGCTTGATACAAGGTCAGCCCACACGGCACTTATCAAGTAAATGGAAGCGAGTGTCGCAACGCTGTGATCAACCTTCCTGCCCATTTTCTAACGCAGTTTTCCTCTGGTTGTTTTGAAACAGTCTGGTGTACTCCAGCCAGGCTGGCCTCCAACTCAGTAACCTGAACTCTCATCCTCCTATCCCCCACCTCCAAAAGGCCAGGATTATAGGCTTACTACACCACACCGGATTTATACTGTGCTAGGAAATGAAAGCTTTGCACGTGCTAGCACTCTAGCACTGAGCTGCATCCCCGCCTGGGCATTTCGAGGTCAGTGTTACACACTCGGGGCAGTTCAGAGCGCTTGGGGGTAGTGGACAGCAGTACTTTACAGAGAATGGGTATCTGCAAACGCCCCATGGTTTGCACATCGCCCTCATGAATCCCTTCATTTTAGCTTCTTTAAAGTCCTCAAAGACTGGGAAGGAAAATGCATGGTCCTTCATGTCCAGTCAGAGTGGCCACGTCTACTAAGAGAGACTTCCAGAATGTTCTGGTTCTGGAGGATAGGAAGAAAAGCTGCCACCCCCTTCTTTTATTTGCCAGTTGCCTCCTTGAGCCCTGCTCTCCCCTCCTGGAAAGCTTGCAGGGGCTCTGGTTCTTCCTGATAAGTGATCCCTTCCCTGGGCTGTGTTGATAGGACCGCCTGCAGCCCCTCCCAATGCCTGCACCTCTGTTAGGCCAGTGTCAGTCAAAAGCCCATTGATGCCTGGCCCAAGCGATCTCTGTTATGGCTCATTCTCCATGCCCCAGAGCAGCCACAGCTGCCCCTGATGAGGCCCTTTGTCTCACACCCTCAGGTTTGGCAAAAGGCCTTCTGGCCCAGAAGGGAGAATAGAAAGGCAGCCAGACTTGCAGCTAGAAAATGAGCAGCAGCTTCTACAGGGATGGAGGAGCAAACATTAGAACCCGACTTTGTTTGTTTTAGAGAGGGAAGCAGGCTGGAGAGATGGTTTGATGATTAAGAGCACTGGCTGCTCTTGCAGAGAACCTAGGTTCATTTCCCAGAATCCACAGGACAGCTCACAACCATCTGTAACTCTAGTTCCAGGGGATCTGAGGCCTTCTGCCCTCCAAGGACACTAGGCATGTACCTGGAGCACAGATGTACGTACATGAAAGCAAACACGCATAGTCATGAAATAAATCTTAAAGAGAGGAGCCTTGGAAGGCCTAATGGAGGTACTGTTTGATTAGGACTTAAAGGCTATACAGTGGAGGGACTCTTGAAGGAGGAAGCATTTGCACACACACACACACCACACACACACACACACCACACATACACCACACATACACACACACCACACACACACCACACATACACCACACATACACCATACACACATACACCACACACACACACACACACACCACACACACACACATACACCACACATACACACATACACACACCACACACACCACACACAACACACACACATACACCACACATACACACACACCACACACACACCACACATACACCACACATACACCATACACACATACACCACACACACACACACACACACCACACACACACACATACACCACACATACACACATACACACACCACACACACCACACACAACACACACATATACACCACACATACACCACACACATACACACACATACACCACACACACATACACCACACACACACACCACACACACACATACACCACACACACACACACACACCACACACACACATACACCACACATACACACACACCACACACACAACACACACATACACCACACACACACACACCACACACAAGTAATGTGTTCTTTAAAGATTGCTACACAGTATGGTGAATTTCTGTACACATCCTGGTCAATATTTTGTTCCGGAGTCAGCCTTCCCCGTCATGTTTCCTGTCTCAGTGAAGGCACATGGCTTTTGGAGCCCCATCCCGTTCCAACCGCACTCCACCCTTGGGGTGATGCAGACGTGGAGTTGTGTGTTCACAGACTCGGATGATCTAAGCTCTCGTGAGTCTCATTTCTCTTTTCTGTCACCAAATATTTGACAAGAAGCAACATCAGGAAGGAAGGACTCATCCTGGCCCACACTGTGGTCCATCTTGGTGAAGTTGAGGCCTTCGGTCCAATTGCGCCTGCAGTCAGGAAGCAGAGAGATCAACAGGGTGCCCAGAGCGCTTGCATCTTCTCATTCAGCAAGGGCTCTGCCCCAGGGATGCCCCAGACATGCAGGGTGGGTCTTCCTCCCTCCATTAGCCCCTGTGAAAACACTCTCGCAGACCTACGCAGACGTGTCCACTGAAGTTATCCCAATCAGGCATCGCAGCCCTGGACGCGATAACAAGCCTCCGATGTTTGACACATTCATTCCTGTCCTGGAGGTCACAAGTCCACATCTGCCTCACCAAGCTAAAGCCAAGGGGACAGCACCGCCCGCTCTTCCTGCGGTTCCATAGCAGAGTTCACATCCTGCCTTTTGCAGCTTTTAGGCCTCCTGCTCCACCCCCCCAGCCACACCCACATACCTGTAAGCCTGCAGATCAGCATCTTCAGACCTCTGCACCTACTGTCACCTTCTCCTCTCAGACTCCAACTCCTGCCCCCCTCCTTTCTCCTATAAGAACCCACCCAAAATAATACAGGTTAACATTCTCATCCAAGACCCATGGCCAGATCCCACCGTGACATGGACATCTAAAGGAACACGACTCAGATAAGGGTGAAAACCCGTGGTAGCCACCGGCCTAACCTCCCCTTGGTCTGTGCCCAGGAGCCCAACAGAGTCTCTGAGCCAGGAGGCAGCGCCAACAGCATGGAGAAAAAGCTAAGCAAATCCCAGCAGCTGAAGGTGGTCTTCCAAGAGTACGGAGCTGTGGGCGTGTCGCTGCACATTGGGGTCTCCCTGGTATCCTTGGGGATATTCTACACAGTGGTTTCCAGGTACGATTCTCAACAGTGTTCACTGTTTGTGGCTGGATGTGGTAGCTCACAGATGTGAGTGCCAGGGAGGCTGAGACTGCAACTTCCGGGCTAGCCTGGGCTTTGGCATGAGGCCTGTCCACAAATAACTGAAGGAAGGAATGCTGGCAGTTGGCAGGATGCTTACCCAGCATTCAAAAGGCCCTGGGTTCCATTCCTCAAACAGCATCTACCATACCTGGAATCCTAGCATTCAGAGGGGCTCAGTTCCAGGCCATCCATCCTCGGCTGCATAGAATTTGAGGCCAGCCTGAGCTACACGAGGCAGTCTCACAAACATTTGTGTTTCTTCTTCCTGCTATAAGCTAATATGTGGGTGAATTTTGGTTTTGGGTTTTTTATTTTCTTGTTTTTTTGGGGGGGGTTGTTTTGTTTTCTGAAACCTACCTACTCATCTAGTTCCTTGCATTATATATTTTAATTATATATATATATATATTATTAGATATGTACACATACATACATATATTTCATCTGGGTCAGCAAGATGGCTCAGCAGGTAGAAAGTGCTTGCTACAGAAGCCTGGTTGCCTGACTTCCACCCCAGAATCCACAATGGAAAGAGAGAACCAGCACATGGAAGATGTCCTCTGACCCCTGAATGCTTGCCATGGCATGTGAATTGCCCATACTCAAACACACAATAATCACAAATTTTTTTTAAGAAGTAAAAATGAATGCTATTAACCTTCTAGGCAAGTCAGTTTCTCCCTGTAATCCATTCTTTGCCTCTTTCTCCCCACAGTGGCATAGACATGTCTGCAATTCTGCTTAAGCTTGGCTTTACAGAGTCGCTGGTGCAATCCAAAATGGCAGCCGGCACCAGCACATTCGTGGTGGCCTATGCCATCCACAAGCTGTTTGCGCCCGTGCGGATCAGCATCACCTTGGTATCTGTGCCCTTCATCGTTAGGTACTTCCGCAGAGTGGGGCTCTTTAAACCTCCAGCCGCCAAGCCGTGATGAAGCTGCTCTCTTCTGAACAACAGGACTTCGGGCTGGTCTCAGGGTGGGGTTTTTGAGGGTTGGTGGGGAGCAGAAGCTAATTGTTGTGTTCCTTGTGGGTTGATTTTATTTTTTGCCAGCAAAAATCAGGCATTTTAATTTTTTTTTTCTCTTTACTGCTCCTCAAAGAGCCATGCACATGACTTAAAATGTCACCAGGACTCCAAAATGAACCAGGTGTGGCGGTGCAGGCCAGTAAAGCCAACTGAGGCAGGAGCATTGGAATCAAGGCCTGTTTGAGCTTCTGGGCTTAGGGTGGACAGAGGAGAGAGGGCTGAGGGCATTAGCAGTGGAGCCCTAGCGTGGCACGCAAAGGGCCTAGATTCGAACCCAGTACAGAACAAGACCACCTACAAAATGCTCCTTTTAGGTCATTAGGCAAGAGTCCGCCCCTAGTGCCCCAAGGGTCTAACCCCTGCTCAGGTTCTTAAAAAGCAATGGCTAATTTGCTGGGCTTTAAAACTCCCTCTCCCCTGATTTGTCACTGGAGCAACCTGCAGTTTAATATGCAGCATTCTGCAAACAGCTCTCAGCACTACAATTGGGGAAGTAAACATTAACAGTCCCTAATCACGATCTACATTAGCATCAAGCCCTTGACATTCACAACACTTGCTTGGGGAAGGGGGGCAAGCCAGGAACTTGCCAGAACTTCCAGTGCGCTTCACTGACTGTGGAGCACCTTCCCGTCTGGATGTGGTGGGGCTGTTTGCCTGAAATCTCATTGATATGGGGCAGTATTGTACAATACAGAAACGCTGCCCACTTGTCATCACTTGGCTCCTAATGCCCATATACAGGGGACTCAGATTCTCACAGAGAAGCTAGAAGCATCATCCTAGCTTTCTTAGACAATCCACTTAGCTATCTAAAACTTGAGACATTCCAGAGCTGACATGATGTTTACAATGTGCCATTGTTTAAATTTTTCAATTAAATTAAGTAATATGCATGAAGTATTTATATACCACTTTCAAAAAATATGGAAAATATTGTTCCAAATGCAAGACAACCACGACGTACTACAAGCCGAGGGGAGATGTCTTAATTAGGGTTATACTGCTCTGATGAAACACCATGACCAAAAGCAGTTTGGGGAGAACAGGGCTGATTTCACTCACAGTTCCCTGTAACAGTTCATCATTAAAAGCAGTGATGGCGGGAACCTGGAGGCGGAGCTGATGCAGAGGCCACGGAGGAGGATGCTGCTCACTGCCTTGCTCATCGTGGCTTGCTCAGCCTGCTTTCTTAGAGAACCCAGGACCACCAGCCCAGGGATGGCCCCATCCCTGATGGGCTGGGCCCTCCCACTCAGTCATTAAGAAATGCTTGCCTACAGCCCAGATCCTCTGGAGGCATTTTCTCAATTGAGGCTCCTTCCTCTCTAATGACTCTGGCCATCATCAAGTTGACTTAGAACTAGCCAGTACAAGAGAGCTAGCTGGTCAGGAGGGTAAGTGTAAAGGAAGGTCAGAGTAGAGACTAAAGCAGAGGCTCTGAAGCTTCCTCCTCTAGGAAGCCAGGAGCAGCTGGAGCAGAGATTGGCTCCATCACTCAGCCCTCCCCTCTGGGCAGGCTGCCATGGGACATTTGTTATGTCAGATCCAAAGGAAGCTCCAATTGCCCAAACCCCAAAAGACAGTCCAAATATCCAGAAATAGGTTCAGCCTGAACTATAGGATTTCTGGTAGACAAAAAAACAGGAGTCCTCGGGAACTTGTAAAACTGGTTCCCTCAACCAAAAGGAATTATTTCCTTTACCTGTTAAAAGGGACACATAGCCACCTGTGGCACCAATCAGCCATCAAAGCCCATGCTTTGTGTCACAAGTACCTGACACACATTCTAAGTCCCTGCTAGCATCCTAGCTCCTCTGTCCTCCTCCTCTACCTGAAATTCCCTCGGGCTCACAGGCTTCCCTTCGCCCAGCTACTCAACCTTGTAACCAGGCTGGCTACTCCCACTACTGTGTTCTCCCTGCTCTCCCTCCCCGGCCCTTCTCCCCTCTCTCCTGGGTAGCCCCGATTATAACCAGTTCACTGGCCATGTTCAGTCTTGCCTCTCTACTCTGGGCTCCTCCAGATGCCTCTGGCTGTTCTCTACAATAAAAACCTTCCCCTGAGCCATACCATGTCAGCTTGCAGAGTTCTATAGTGGAGAGCCAGTGTTTGAACTCTGAAGTCTGCTCAGCTGCATGGGGCAAAGCTTTGCATTTTTCTTGCTCACAACTTAAGTTACTTTGACAATCAGAAAACACAGAGAAAGCCCTGCTGGTCAGCAGAAATGCATTCTACCAGATTCAGCTGACCGTTTCGTTACGTCATTTGTCTCAGCTAACATTTAAGAGGAATTTTTGTGAGACAGATTCTGTATTCGTGAGATCTTTAAAGTGGGGTTGCACTGTCCTCTTACTGCAGACCACAGCCAGCTTTTACTGACTTAATGTCAGGATGCATTACAGAAACTAATTCTAATGACAGCCAGGGAGCAGAGCGAGATGCCCCAGGACAATGACAGGTGATACCCTGTGTAGACTAGTGTAGACTAGATGTGGCCTCTCCATCACCCTGTGTGGATCCCCACCCATCCTACTCTCCCATTCAGTCAGGTCCCTAAGTAACACATGCAAAGAAACACATTGAAAATAGCAATAAGAATACAAATTGTACCTAGAGCGTGGTCTTCCGAGCCAAATCCCACTCGCATGTCTGCGCCCACAGCCAGACCAGGGATGAGTTGAGAGGCTGAGACACTAAAGTGCTATATATAAACAAACCTATGAAAGCAGGTCTGCTCCTGCTAGGAAACTATTTTAGAATGTCAGCCATTGTTTGCCTCTAGTTTTTTAAACAGACCAAGTGAACTGCTTAGATTCTGTGGAACCAATAAAAACCTTTGTAAAATGGTGTGTTTTATCATCTGCCGAGCCGCCGCTGCCGAGTTAGGGGCAGCACCATGTGACGTGGCATCAATCTGCTGTTAGCAGGAGCTGCTGTGGGCAGCGGTGCTCCACATTGAGCTTGGATCCCAGTAGTCCCGTGATAGTTGACTGCAGCGTGAGTGGACAGTCCTTGGGGTGGTGCTCTCTCAACAGTTTGGCACAGGACTGCCAAGGGGCGGCCTCCTCAGCTCCACTGAGGCAGAGTGAGGGTGGCCCAGTTGACATGACATTTTATTTCACTAGCCACTTGCGTTTCCCTGTCACCTGACGTCTGGTGTCTTCAGTTGGCTGTGAAAGCTTGTCTCTCTAACTCCAATTCCCCTCCTGTTGATGGCCGCAGCGCAGCTGAACTGAAATGTCAGGAGCATGTATGTCCAAGAGACCAGAAAGCACACCGCTCGCTCACTCGGGCCGCAGCAACCAGGAGACCAAATGATTACCCTTGTACTCCAGGTAGATATTATACACATATTTATATATTTAACACATTTGTATACATGACAATAACAAACAGCCCGTAGCATCTAGAAACACCTGAGTCAAGTCCACGGCAGGTGGAGCACAGGATCCAGTGTGGTGGCTGAGAACGGAGTCCCATACAGGACAGGCTTACGGAGGCAGAAAACAAGTGTGCTGAAGGGGTGCCACTTAATGAGGACGCAGATACAAATCTTTATTTTAACATTTAAAAGAAAACTAAATAGTCATTCCAACAGCTTTCCCAGGCCTGGCGACCCAATAAGTTACACACACACTCAGGCACTTGAAGGCTAGACACAGGTTCTCACCAGGGAGGTGAGAAAGAGTGGTAAGACCCCCACAAGGACACCTTGGGGGACAGCTGCAGTGAGCCTTCCCTCCAGATTGATGAACCAGGAAAAGCAGCGTGGTTCATGGGGCTTGGGCAATGTCACATGCTCAGGTGGGGCTTCCTGGATGCAAGGCCAGGGACTGCCTGCTCAGCAGGGTGTTCTGAGGACAGTGATGATGGCCCGGAGGTCTCGATGATAGTGTGTTTCTCACAGATGCACAGAGCCCATGACTCCGGATTCCCTATGATGATTTGCTAGTTAGCTCTTTGGTTTTTTGGCCAGTCGAAGGTTTTGAGGAGTTCGCTCTGACCCAGGGATGCTCAAGGACCTCTGCTAGTGTGAGCCTCTGACTTGAGTTGTGCTTTAACAGTCTTGAAATGAGGTCCCTGGCTCCCTCAGTCACAAAATCAGGGAATGTGAATTCAACCTGCAAAATAAGTGACAGAATGACACAAACGTGGGTCAGAGGTATGCACGAATAAACACCAGCCCTCGGCAGGAACTGAACAGCAGCATCTTACCCGCGATATCCTTCTGTAGGTCTCCTGGTGGGTGTGTGCCTCGAAAGGAGGCATCCCAACTAGGAACTCATAGCAGAGGACACCCAGGCTCCAGAGGTCCACCTTCTCATCGTGCATCCGGCCTTCAATCATCTCGGGGGGCAGGTAGTCCAGGGTGCCACATAGTGTGGTTCTCCTGGACGAGGGAGACCGGGGTTGACACACTGACATACGTGGCATGAGCACATACATGTGGCATGAGCACCCCCAGCCCCAGGCAGTGAGTCAGACATGCCGGCAGGGAGTGTATAAGGTTACACACCAGCCACCATGCTTAACTCCAGGGCCGCTCAGGAAATCTAGAGAAAGCAGTTGCGCTTCTCTCATCCCTAAGCCAGACTGGGCTTTGAAGGAGGAGCCACCCCGGGAAGAAATGAGGAAGTCGCTATGCAGTGCTCTCTGTAAACTTGGAATTCTGCATGAGCTCAGTGACGGGACACTGCCCTTTTAGGCTGGGTACTGGCTCGTGCCTGTAATTCCAACATCTGGTAAGATGAGGCAGGAGGGCTGACAGGTTCAAGGCCGACCTGGGCCACAGTGTGCGATTGTGTGAGGAAATCAGGAAATGGAAAAGGAAGTCTTAGAAATGTAAAGGTCTAAGGATGAAAGAGGCAGTCCATACCGCATGAACACTCCACTGGGCTCTTTAACACTGCAGCTGTTTTTGGTTAGGAAGTTTAAAGATTGCATTTATACTTAACATGTGCTTCGCCTGCCTGTCTGTGCACATGAATGTTGTGTCCACGGGCATTGCATCTTCTAGAACTGAAGTACAGTTGTGAGCCACCACATGGGTACTAAGAACTGAATCCAGGTCCTCTGCAAGAGCAGCCAGGGCTCTTGATAGCTAAGCCACCTCTCTAGCCCGATTGTTTTAAAAGCATCTTGCTTCATAGCCCAGACTGGCCTCCAAGGAGCGATCCCCCTGCCCCAGTCTTCTAGCTGCTGCTGGGATTGTAGGTGTGTATTATCAGCATACCTGGCTGGATTGTTTAAGACAATCTAACCAGACTGGCTCCAACTTGAGGTCCTCCTCTCTCAGCCTCTCAGTTCCTGGGATTAAAGTGTGCACCAGCACACTGGGCTTAGATTTCTCTCTCTCACTTTCCACAGAGGGCGTGTATGTGTGTGTGTTTGTGTTCTGATTTAAAAGTAGCCATAAAATTTCATGGACAGCTAAAGAAATCTAAGAATTAAGCTAACATTAGAGGTCACAATGGCGGTGACTGCAGCTCCTGTCTTAGGGATGCACACTGCAGCTCCTCTGTCTTAGGGATGCACACTGCAGCTCCTCTGTCTTAGGGATGCACACTGCAGCTCCTCTGTCTTAGGGATGCACACTGCAGCTCCTCTGTCTTAGGGATGCAAACTGCAGCTCCTCTGTCTTAGGGATGCACAGTGCAGCGTCTTGATCTATGACTGACTTTAACTCTACAAAGCCAATACCAACTGGGCTCTGGGATGGAGAGGTGGACTGCTGTGTAGCCATCACCAATCCAGCGTTTTCTATCCATTTGGGTTCTGAAAGCCACAGCTGGAACAAGCTGGGGGCAGACAGTGGAGACCACTGGTGCTGAGATGGTGCGGAGCAACTCACTCATGCCTGTGCCCCCACAAGCCCTCTGTGGGACTCTCAAAAGATGATCCCCTATAACCAGGCAACTATGCTGCGGAGCATAGTTTGAGAAGCAGTTGGAGCAGCTGTCAGGATTCACACCTATTGTCTCTTCTAAAACCTGCAAGCTCCATCTTTATCCTGATGTCACCACTGGACAGGTCACAGTCCTAGCTAATCATACAACCCATGACACTATAGCTCTCTGGTGGTTGTTTTACTGCATAGCAGGAGCACCTACTGACTGACATCAGCAGTTCAAAAACCTGTCACAGTGCGCTGGAGACAAACACAAGTGACCTTAAACTGGGCTACTTTTTAAAACAGGCTTTACATTTTTTAAAACTACATTGATTTGCTTGGTTGGGTGTGTCCACCTGTGTGAGGAAGCATGCCACGGAGCAAGGCCGGGGTCAGTTCTCTCCTTCCACCAAATGGTGCCAGGACTGAACTCAGATTGCCAGGCTCAGTAACAAGCACCTTTACCTGCTGAGCCTTCTCCTCCAGCCTCTGACAGGCTTTTTAAAAATACCGTTAGGTAATGTTTTTAAAGTAGTCCCCCAAACAGGCAAGACCTTGACAGCAGGGGCCCTGTTCACACGAAATACCAAAGCTATTCAAACCCAAATTCAACTGGCAAAGTGTGCAAAGTCTGCCCACTTTTCACTGTTGTATTAGATGACATCTCTGCTTCAGCTTTAAAGGGGACCGCAAAGGTCTAACCCTGCTGCGGACACACGCAGGAGGCAGGCATCCTCAGAGCTGCACCCACACCACCTGGTTTCAAAGTTCCAAACAACTGGCTCTTGGCTCTGCTGTCCACCCCTGGTAAGGTCCAAGTCCCTCCAGGGCACCTGTCTTCACTTATCGACTGTGCATCAGCCATACCTCTAAGTTCATCACCCCCTTCCATTAGCCTCTGGGGACATTCAGCATCCGTCAGCTGAGGCCAGAGCTCAAAATGGTCATAGAAAAAAAAAACTTTGTCAGGTCTACATTCTTCCAAAGTATTCCTAGGTCAGCCAAGGCCCCTTATTTCAGAGTAGGCTAGCATTCAGCTAACAGTCCCCACCCACGCCCCACCCAGGGCTTCTGCCAACTGCTCCCACCTCTGGAACTCCATACCTGGAAGATGGAGCGTGCACAGACCACCCGAAGTCTGCAATCTTCAACTCTCCATTTGGCCCAAGAAGCAGGTTCTCTGGCTTAATGTCTCTGTGGATGACTCTCTTTGAATGACAGTAAGACAGAGCGTTTGCCAACTCTGTGATGTACTGTTGAGGAGAAAGCATTGAAGCCCAGAGTTAGGTCTATGTAATGCAGTCAGGCAACTGAAAGTTGATCCAACAGAGACTAATGTGTTTTTCGGCTTTTGAAGCAAACATTGCAGACAAACGGGTAAATCTATATATAAACACAGCTGCAGCCTGAGAGACTCACTCGGAGCTCAGTTAACACTAAGCTAATACCAGTGATGTGACCTTGTCAGGCAGGGACAGCATTGGCCATAAGCCTGAATCAGAGTCCTACCAGGCAACTGAGAAAGAACTGTACCATTACCAAGTCAAACAGTTTAGCAACCTTTAACCATTTAAACGGCCCTGACCAGGTGCACAGACCCAAGGAAAAGTCCCAGTCTGCTTTGCATCCCATGACAATAAGTTTTAGTCAGGATCAAAGTATGTGAGCAAAGGAGGAAAGACAGGTGAGATCTGTCCTGCCCCCTCCACTGTGAGTCTAGGGCTAGGCTGGAGTTCAGTGTAGCTACTTACTCCGAGCATGCATGAGACCTCAGAGCTGAGGGTGGCCCAGTGTCCCTCTGTGTCACGTGCATATGTAATTAGCAAAAAAAAAAAAAAAAAAAAAAAAACTTTTTTCCCAAAAGGAAAATACGGCAGGAAAAAAAAAAAAAAAAAGAAAAAGTCATTGTCAAATAGGACATTTTTCATTCTTGTGGAGACCACAATGAAACTGACACTGTACACTGCCAGGCAGAGGCCATGGACCTCACTCCCAGAGCCATCGGCAGCAGGGGTGAGGGTTAGCCTGCCCTTCCCCCACACCTCCCAGGCTGAGAGACTAGGGCTAGGCCTAGACCCCACACACTGCTCTACAGTTATGTAAATTACATGAAAAGTAAACAGGTGGGAATGCTATTCTAAGTAATAAGGGATCTAGAAGGAAATATTCTTGACTTACAGTCAAATGCCCACACTTGGATTGAAGCCTTAAATGGGGAAGTGTGAATGTGTAAACGACATTTGGGGTCTGAAGTAGGATAACATCAGAAACCAATGGACAATTTCCTATTTACCTTGAGAAGAAAGTTGGTCAAACTGATTTTTTTCTTGTTTCTGTGCTTTGTTTTTCAAGATAGGGTTTCTCTGTGTAACAGCCCTGGCTGTCCTAGAACTCACTCTGTAGACCAGGCTGGCCTCAAACTCACAGAGATCAGCCTGACTCTGCCTGCCAAGTGCTGGGATTAAAGGTGTGGGCCGCCACCACCACCTGACTGATAATTTCTTTAATGGCCAATTGAAGAAGCTGAATAGTCAGGCGGGCATGGTGGCAGCCGTAATCCCAGCGCGTGGCAGGCAGACAGGCTGCGGGAGGAGAGCTGCAATGCTAAGGAACTAACTGAGAGCACAAACTGTCTTGAGAAGGGGTAGAAAGGGAGAAGCTCGGGCTGGGAGGAAACGACTAAGAGTTAAAACACAACAACCGGAAAAGCACTATAAAACGACGAGCGATGCAGGCAGCCGATGGTGTATAAGTGACACTAGGAAACCACAGATAACTGGAAGAGACCACTATAACCTGTCAGAACCATGATGTCCAAAACCCTGACAGCAAATGCCAGAGGAGGAGGAGGGCTGATGCTCAGTGACAAAACCGCCACCAACTGACCCAAGCATACTGTGTTACACACATACGCGCACTGGAGCGCACGCATAACTAATGAGGCGGCAGCTGCTCTCACCGCTGGCATGCAGTGTAGAGTGCAGACCAGCTCGCTGCATCCGGACACATGAACACTGGTCAGTACACACGTGCTCGCCTTCTCTGCACCTTAGGACCTAGAAGCAGCAACAGCTCAGCAGCAAGAGCTCCCGCCCTAGTCACTGGACCCCGACTTCCAGGAACTCTCCAGGGAAGGAATGGCTGCTTCTAGGGACAGGCCACAGAGAAAGCACACATACAGCCCAAAGCCCCACATGGCGGTTTATATAGGAACCAGGAAGAGCTCCCAGTAGCCAATGCTGAAACAACAAAATAGAGAGGCACTGGCCACATAACACACAACCTCTGCAGTTTCAGTTAAAGACAGGACAGACAGCTACTCTTCTAGAGGACCCAGGTTCAGGTCCCGCACCCACATGTGTGTTCACAACCATATTATGAAACTCTAACTCCCCCTTCTGGACTGTGCATGTGGTACACAGATAAAACATGCAGGTAAAATATTCCTATACATGAAATAAACCTAAGTATAGCATGGCACCCCAGGCACAGGACACTAAGCTTGCCACCTAGCAAGCGGTCACATTACAGATGTACAATGGTGACGTGAGGCAAGACTGCACTGGGAACTAAGATCTTCCCCAGTGCCCACAGCCTTTTCCAATCACAAGGAAAATGAACGCACTCACACGAAAGCGTGGACTTAGGTGCACAAGTCATGCTCCAGTACTGGGTCAGTTATGACAAGAGTATATTAACTAAATTGGTGTTGATGATAGAGAAATAAGGTGTGGGCAAACAGAAACTCCATGTTGTTATTTTTGCATCTAGAACTATACTAAGACACTGTAGTAGTCTGAATGTAATTGTCCCCCGTAAGCTCACAATGGAGTGGCACTATTAGTAGGTGTGGTTTTGTTGGAGTAGGCGTGGCCTTATTGGAAGAAGTGTGTCACTGTGGAGGAGGGCTTTGAGGTCTCCTATGCTCAAGATAGCACCCAGAGTCTCAGTTCACTTCCTGTTGCCTGCAAGATGTAGGACCCTCAGCTCCTTCTCCACCACATCTGTCTGCACAGCCATGCTCCTGGCCATGAAAATGGACTAAACCTCTGAACTATCCCAATTAAATGTCTTCCTTGATAGGAATTGCCATGGTCACGGTGTCTTTTCACAGCAATAGAAACCCTAAAACACAAAGTAGATGACAAGGGAGAGGGAAACTAGATTAGATTATATACATTTCCACAAACAAACAGTCACAAGTCACCTACTCTATGAGGTGTAAGTTGCTTTGACTGATCTCAGCGATTTTACCCTACGAAGCCCTTTCTATGAAGACAAAGTCAACTGCAGCGTGAAGAAAGGTACACTGTTAGACAAGGGAGAGAGTGAGCATGAGCCTGGCCAGTGAGACACTTACAGTAGCTGTCCTCTGCTCGTCAAACTTGGAGAGTTTCTGGAGCTCTCTATAGACTGTCCCAAGGGGCGCGTATTCTAGAATTAGATAAACTCTGGTGGCATCATGGAAATATCCATACAGCCGGAGGATGTTGGGGTGCCTGCAACGAAGAATGGAGAGGGTGACCCCTGGCTTCGAGCCCACTGGATGCTGTGAATGCTGACCCCTGAGGGAGCAATCTCAGTGCGCGCCTCACAGCACACACAAGATCTGGACCCTGAGCCCACTAAGAAAATGACACCGTATGTGGATTTCAAAGTACAAACGGATTTGGCTTTGGTTGACACTGCTCCCTTTGAGATATCTTTATTCTTGTCAGCTGAACACCAGCCTCTGTGTGCTGAGGAGGGGCGCGTGGGATGTGCCAACAGGGCACTCAACCAAGGCCAAGGGGCCGGCAGTGGTAGGTGCCAAGTGGCTGGGCACAGTCTGCCGGAGGTGACAGCACCTCTCTGGTCCCCGTCCCCACCCTGCCAGGTGACAGCAGGCCAGACAAGCCGCGTGACACCACAGCTTCAGGGCTGGCGTCCGAGTCAAGCCTAGAAAACCCTAAAAGCAAAACGGGAAAATAAAGCAAAACAAAACAAAATGCACTGACTTAACCAGGGTCTTCCCCTAATTCTCCCCGAGGAGAGAAACCCAGTGAACTGACTGAGTGATGCCTTCCTTGGGGCTAGGCATCTATGGGAGTCGCGCTGTCCCCTGGTCCTCTGGCAGGGGCCACTCACCGCAGGTGGGACTGTATCTCCACCTCCCTCCGCAGCTGGTGCTCCACCCCTGCCTTCTCCAGCTGGGTTTTAAACAGCACCTTCAGGGCCAGGATGAACTTGCTTTGCTTCTCCCTTGCCAAATAGACATTGCCAAACTTTCCTTTACCCAGGGGGCGGCCAATGTCAAAGTCTTCCAGAGTCCACTGCCTTCTACAAAGTAATGTGAACATTAAAAATACCAAGTAAACTCTACCATTTCCCAGGTCCGCCTGACAACCTGTTCAGGCTCAGACTACATCCAGTATGTACTCGGTAAGCAGCAACCCCAACCACCAGAATGAGCCACAAACCTTAAAGCCCAACTTCCCCGGCCCAAAGCTGCCCTCACTCCAAACACAGACTGACAGCCCTCACCACCACCTTGCAGGACCGTGTGGGGACCGACCTGCACAGCCCGTGAAGACAACAGGCCTATGGGGCAGAGTCACTCTGGTGTGAGACAGAGCCACTGTCACAGGGTGGGGAAGCAGGACACACCCAACAGGCCGTTTCTAATGGCCTCGCAAACGATGTAGAAGTTCACTGAGTCGTGTAGGTCTTCTAGTCTGTGTTGTGTATTCATGTGTGATGTTTTTCTATTTGCTACTTTTGTAAGTGATTAAGTTTCCATAAAAATCTTCGATGAAAAACATAATTAAACAAAGAAGTAAAAATAACTTTTGTCCCCTGGTAAACTTGACTTAATGGGGATGGTGTTAAGGTTGGTGGCCGGCGGCCAGATGGGTACTCCAGTAGATGAGGAAGGAAGCTTACTTTTTTGAGTCTTCAGTTTTCTGCTTTGATGCCTGATCATTTTCAGAATGATTTCCTATATGAAATAAGTTAAAATACTGTTTTTAGAACAACTGTATAATTCTTTATAAAAAAAAAAAAAAAAAAAAATCTGTGAACAGAGAGAGATCAAAGGATAGTCCCATAGCAGGCATGTGCTGTGCACCTTCAATCCCAGCACTGGGAAGGCAGAGGCAAGCGACCAGCCTGGTCTATAGAGCAAGCTCCAGGACAGCCAAGGCTACACAGAAAAAAACCCTGTCTCAAACAAAACAAAACAAATAACAACAAAAAACCATCACTAAAATACTAGAGGTACATGATAAACCCGGGCTTTTCATTTTTTTCACTGGGAGAGACTACTAAACCAGAAACCATAGCCCATAACCTGACTTCTGCCATAAGTGGTCTCATAATTTCTGAGGTAAATAAACATGAGCAGGGCCCCCTCCAACAAGACCGAGAATGTCCCTCCTCACTTGGGCTTTCGCCTGGGAAGAGCTTCCAGAGAGAAACCGGCAGCAGCGCCCACTCCATCCCCATCCACAAGCTGCCCACCACCTTCTCCACCGGCCGTGGGGGCAGTAGACATATGTCCAAACTAATTTCTCCTGCATTGCATGAGTCAGTCTCTCAACTCAGGTCTTCTTATCACCACTGCGGGGGCTAAGGACCATGACCCCACAATATGACTGGAGACCAGAAGAAGCCACCCACAATACACCTTAGCCTCTTCTGTCCAGCCGATTGGGAGCTGCAGTCCCGGGAGAGTCCTCAAGTCCAGGTGCATTTCTGAGGGACAGACGGCTAAAAGGCTTCACCCACTCCTCTGCCCTCCACAGCTTATTGCTGCCCCTCTCCCTCCCTCCCTCCCTCCCTCTCTCCCTCCCTCCCTCCCTCCCTCCCTCCATTGGAGGTCCCAGGCCTCTCCATTGCTGGGGCTCAGGATCTTATAGCCAGTCACCCTTCTAGGCACCAGTATATATGCACATAATTTAAGTGGGTTTCCTCCAGACTGCCTGCCTGCCATCAGCTCATTTTACAAACTCCTCTATCCCCTTATAAGGGCCCAGCTCAAGTTTTCCCTCTTCCTACACGTTACAGCTACCTCTTTCCGGCTCATCTTCCTAGTCTTATCACCCAGTCATCTAGAGTCTGCTTCCTAAATGAAGCAGCAAATTCATCCACGCCTCTCAGGAGGAGTTAACTGCTCCAGTCACTGCGCCTGAGTTCAGCCTCCCTCCCAGACACCCCAACACCAGCAGCAGCCTCTGCCTTACAGGCAGCATCTCCTTCTGCTCCAAAGAGCCTCCAGTAGCTTCCCCCTGGCAGGGCCGGCCGTTACATCTGTATTCATCCCATCTCCTCTTCATCCCCATCAGACACAGTATAGAAGCTAGGGCGTCAAGGCTAAGTACCAACCCACCCATTTGCTTTATGAGCAACAGCTGAAAGAATGGCCGTCCAAGGCAGTGATAAGAGAGGCTTACCAGAGTCCGCAGGTGGTGCCTGCTCACTCTTCTGAGGGTCACTAAGCTGGGGCACGGGACGAGGACCGCTGGCAGCTGGCAACTGCTTTGGCGCTGGCTTCTGAGCTGAGACAACTTTCTGTGCTTGTGAAGGGACACGGTGGGAGGAGTTGGAAGGACACAGGACCCGCTGTGCCTGGCCACTGCTAGCCAGTCCTAGGTTCTGAGAAGGAATCTGCTCTGTCACCAAGACTCGTTTTGGACAAAAGGGACCTGTGGTCTGGGATAGAGAGAAAGTAGGGATTATGGCTGATGGTATCCTGAGAACTCAACCAAGTTTCCTTTGTAAATCTAATAAAACTCATAAATATCGTGGATAATAAATGGAAATGGGGGCCAGAGAGAGGACTGAGCAGTTAAGCCGCTGGCTGCCTTTGCAGAGGACCTGGGTTTGGTGCTCAGCGTCCACATCTGGCGCACAGCCATCTGTAACTCCACATCCAGGGGATCTGACGCCCTCTTCTGGCCTTCTGAGGTTTCTCTCACACACGGCACACAGACATACATGCAAGCACTCATTCACATGAAATATAAACAAATCTTTTTTAAAAATAAAGTTAAAAGGGGGGAGACGAAACTATTTTAATGTGCATCTGGCCAAAGGGAGGGCACCTCCCACCCTGGCCCCAGACCCTGCTCTGTTAACCATGCGACGCCTGGTATGCTGGCTCACACCTGTCATTCCAGCACTTGGCAGGCTGAGGCAGGATTAGCACTGAGCTCCAGGCCAGCCTCAGTGAGACCGCTCAACTGTTATATCAAAACCTCGTAATGAAGGAAACCCGTGACTATTCACAGTACCAGCATCCTCAAGCAATTCTGCAAAGCAGTCTAAATTTATGGTTATGCAAGTTTCCCATAAGACGGTTATGGCATTACTGTTCATTTCCCTGGGTTTCACTTTCAGAGTACTTATCAACAGGGCCTCACTAGGTAATCCTGACTGGCCTGGATCAGACTCTGTCTCAGGCTACCTGCCTCTGCCTCCCAAGCACTGGAACTAAAGGCATGCATACCCTCCACACCCCACCCAAAAGAGATAGTTTTTAAGAGTGTAATCTCAGCCTGGCCTTGGTGGCACACACCCTTAATCCCAGCACTTGGGAGGCAGAGACAGGCAGATCTCTGTGAGTTCGAGGCCTGCCTGGTGTACAAGAGCTAATTCCAGGACAGTCTCCAAAACCACAGAGAAACCAGTCTCCTAAATAAATAAATAAATAAATAAATAAATAAATAAAAGTAATCTCCACCCAGGCTTTGGGGCCCTGGAAGCACACGCCTTTAATGCCAGCTCTTGGGAGGCAGAGGCAGGTGGTGGATCCCTGTTTGTTCAAAGCCAGCCTGCCAGCCTGGTCTACAAAGTGAGTTCCAGGACAGCCAGAGCTGTTACACAGAGAAACCCTGTGTTGGGGAGAAAAATGTAATCTCCAAAACTAAAATGCATAAGAAATTATTAAGAAGTTGAGTTTTCAATAGGAAAAAAAGGAGTAACTTTGACAAAGAAACAAATGTAATCTCCTATAAGAGTAATTATTACCACACTACAATATTCATAAGTAATGTGTCAGAGTCTTAAACAGCTCTTAAGACCCATGCCAAGCACTCAGAGAGAAGACGGGACTTCCTTCTGCTTAAAAGAGGCTCAGGATCCACCACTCACTCAGAGGGCAGGAGCCATCTCCTACAGAAATGGAGGCCACCACCCAAGAGGCCTCCAGGCAGGGTCAGGAAAGGGTAGAAAGAGTTCCAACACCAAAACAACTTCCACAGGAGCCATCCATCCATCCATCCATCCAACTATCTATCTATCCATCCATCCATCCATCCATCCATCCATCCATCCATCCATTATCCATCCATTATCCATCCATCCATCCATCCATCTATCCATCCATCCCCGTGGCTCAGCAGATAAGGGAGGGCTCTTGCAGCTAAGCCTGACAACCTGGGTCAGAGTTCCTGACACACGATAGAGAATGGACAACAACTATACTGGCCTGCCCTTGGGGTTCCGACAGGACACGCCCTCAGCTACAGCCACTAAGAGCACCACCTGTGCACATTCACTGTGCTCCCTTTTAGAAGGGCCCTGCCCGCCTCCCCTCCTTTCTCCTTTTTGCTCTCCCTTTCTCTCATCTGCACATGCTCGCGCGCGCGCGCTCGCTCGCTCTCTCTCTCTGCCTCCCTCCCCCTCTTCCTCCTGCTGCTCCTGTCTCCCTTCCCCTAATAAAAAAAAAAAAAAAAAAATCCCTCTGCTTGAACCCTGTCTCATGGCATCTCTCGTGAACTGTTTCCTTAAATTACAACATTGGTTCCCTGACCAGGAAAGGCTCTCCTGGCGTCTCCTCCTTACAGCAGGCAGTTTGAGACAGGCCAGGACCTTGGAACCCAGTTCACATATAACAGCCTAGTTTCTCTGGATCCCTGGATCCTTGAATCCAAATCGTCACCATTGGCGAACCAGTCCACCTTCCCTACCTTAGGCTAGCTATTACCAAGAGTGACAATTCGTCTGCCTTTTGGCCTAGTTAAATTAAATCCTGGTATCAGGCAACCATGGCTCTCTCTGGCTGAGTCCTTGGCCCCTACCCTTTGTGTGACGACCCACTGGGTGACCTGTGGCGGTCTCCGACCCTCAGGCCCTTCACTCCCCACCCCTTGACTGGTGAATCACCAAGGTGGCTTGTGCCTTTCTCCCTCAATCCTTGCTTGATAAAAGCCAATGGATCTTGTTCTGCCTCATTCGTGAGGATTAAGTCTACCAAACTCTGCTTCACAGCACTTGGTAATCACTTCATGCTGGGGCCCCACCTACCGGCAACAGATCTTTCTCACTCGCTGATGGTGTTGCCTTCCATTCAATACCAACCATTGGGTCTCTGGTGGGGTTACCCGCTTCTCACCATCCCCCTGGATGTGAGGCTTCCTTTCCTCGCCTTCTGGCTTTTCTGTGTCTCTGGGGCTCAGAGCCCTTGAGTGACAACACACTGGATGGCCTGTGCCTGTCTTAACATCTCCTGGGATTGCAGGCCCTTCTGTCTTATTTCCCAGCCTCACTCATTGGAGCTGTGTCATTGTCTACACCTCCCTGCTCCCATTGGGATTGTTTGGAGACCCACTGACCACTCCTAATCAGCTCCTGTTGCAGACCACCAGCTGGAGGCGCAAGGCTACCAACCCTTTCAGGAGTCGGTTTGAACCCACCAAAAAATGGCATTTTACCAGGTTCAGGAGGCATCTTGACGGTTCCACAGAGCCTGAACAGTTAAGTGAAACAGCCAGCTACTCCAGGATGTGGATATTACCCCAGCTTTCCCGGGTCCCCCAAAAACGAACAATGCCCCCAGGCCAGCAGGAAGTAGTCTTGAGGACACACAGTGTTCTCCCCACCTCACCTGCTACCCCTTTCTAACACCTCATCTTAGAATAAAAAGGGAGGAATGTTAGTAGTCAGGCATCTATACTGGCCCGTCCCTGGGGTTCCGACAGGACACGCCCTCAGCTGCAGCCACTAAGAGCACCACCTGTGCACATTCACTGTGCTCCCTTTTAAAAGGGCCCTGCCCACCCTCCCATCCTTTGTTCTCTTCCCCTCTCTGTCTCCTCTCCTGTTGCTCCTGACTCCAGAGGCCAGCCTCCCCCTCCCCTTCCCTAACAGACCCCTCTGCTTGAACCCTGTCTCAAGCCATCGTTCTCTCTCGAAAGGCACTTTTCTTAAACAACAGCTACACACAAACAAAATGCATTTCATTGGATCATGATTACAGGTAATTCTTTTTACCTTAACCGGCCTGGAAACACAGTTTTCTTTACATCTGTCCATGTCACCTGAAGAGAGAAACGAGAGCCTTCATTTAAAGGAAGCCGCCTGCTGCTGTGCTCCAGTCATTGCTTCTGATTGACAGGCAGACCTCTGTAACCTGAATACCTCACACTTTCCTTGGTACAAGTGAAGCAAGCTGACAGGAGATGGATGTGAGGTCCTTTCCCACTGACAGTCACTGCATCTCCTCACACCCTCTCCCATTCTCTTCCCTCCTGGACATCTTCCTTCTGCTTTAACACATGATGCCCACCATACACAGCCTGCTTGGGTTACCCATTTGACCCACAGCTGCCTCGGGTCATGATCCCATCTCTCACCTCCCTTGGAGCAGCAAAGCTCACCTACTCTTTTCCCAAGCCCATCCCCATTGGGCCTTGCTTGACCTCATTTTCCCCTAATCCCAGTCCTTTGCCTTCTTATCTATATCAGATGACCTTCACAGATCCTATTCAGCTAAGATTCACAACTCCAAGTGGGTAAACTGCAGGTATGGGCCTCCGGTTCCCCCTTTCAGATATACGGTTGCCGTCAGGACAGACAACGGAGTGTGTTGCTGAAGAGCCCATAATGCAAAGATGAGGGAGGCTAGGCAGGAGACCGGAGCAGTAAGTGAAGGCCTGTGGCTGAACCCAGCTCACCAGATGTCTGTAGGGATTGGAGCTCCTGCGCCCAGATGACAGCTTGGCTAAACGACCCTGCATTTTAACTTCCGGATGATTAGCTCTAGCAGGGTCCTATCCCCATATTTCTATTTCCTCCATCTGCAGTGGAGCCAGTATTTTGTTTGTTTGGTTTGAGATAGGGTATCTGTGTGTAGCCCTAGCTGCTCTGGAACTCAGAGATCCCTGTACCTGCTCTCAGGTGCTGAGATTGAAGGAATTTGGGAGCATATACAGCCTTATGTTTTTGAGGCAGTGTTGCGTGTAGCCCAGGCTGGCTTTGAACAACATGCTACAGTGGAGGATGATTTTTAACTTCTGATCCTCCTGCCTCTACTTCCCCAACGGGATTATAAGCATGGTCACCCTGCCCAGTGTATGAAGTGCTAGAAATCGAATCCAGGGCGTGGTATGCAAGAACTCTGCTAACTGAACTACATTCCCAGGTAGGCTCCACTTTGGGGAAAGGCTCTCTCATCTCTCACACTGTATCTGAAGCTAGCTTCTAACTCAAGGCTACCGTCCTGCCTCAGGCTGCTGATGTGAGCAACCACACTTGTTTTGTTTTTAAGTATTTCTGTTGAGCTCAGGCTGGCTTCGGACCTGCCATGTAACTTCTCTGCCTCCACACCGTCAGAACTGGGATTAAAGGCGGGGGCTACCACGAAAGCTTGGGTAGGCAGTGCTGGAGACCCGAACCCGAACCCGGGACTTCCGGGATATTCTACAAAGGGAGCTTTAACGGGTCTACGCTTTGAACCAGACCCTCCCCCTCCCCGCGCCGCCGCCCCAAGTAGTCCCGACAATGAACTGCTCAAAAGGCTGCATGCAGCGAGGGCAGCACCGATCCGGGGCGTCTCTACGTGGGGACTGTCATTCCCCGCCAGACTAGATCCCCGCCTCTGCACCCGAAGCCGCAGGCGCTTCGTCCACGCCACCACCGGCCGTTTGCAAGTCACCCGGTTAGTTGGTGGCCCGGGTCCCGTCCCCACCAGAACCTACACCCGAGGAGGGAAGAGGCCACCTGGATCTTTGTTACAGCGAATGCAAACCCACTGAGACAGCCTGCCACCCCCACGCCACCCAGCGCCCCGCGTCGCTCTGCAGCACCCAGGCTCTCCCTCGCCCGCCCGGCCCGCTTCCTACCCAAGGGCAGGATCCCGTGTCCGGCGAGGCCTGCAAGCGATCCCAGGAGCTCAGCCGTTACAATTCAAAGGTTCCCCTTTTAAAATAGGAGTTAAACCCTCTCCTCCGAAAGCTGATTGGCTAGAAGCGAAGCGGCGCCGTCCTGTGATTGGCTCACCGTGAACGCGACGACGGGAAGCTCGTTCCGTGCCGTGGCTGGGGCGCAGGCGCACTGGGCCGTCAGAGCCCGGAAGTGGCGCGCCAACGGCCTGTCCGATCGATCTGTGGCCGTTCTGCCGTTCGCCGTGCTCCCCGGGATCGGGCGCTTGCCGGTCACAACAGCAGCCCTTTGCGTTCAAGGGTGCCGCGAAGGTGACCAGCTCGGAGGAGGTGAATGAGCGTCTCGAACGTGCCAGTGAGTAAGATGGCGAGACGGGCACAGGCCTGCGAGTGAGCGGGAGGTTGCTCGGCGCTCTGCTGCGCGGCCTTTGCGCGTGCGCGGTGGGTGTGCGCTCAGAGCGAGCGATCGATCGGGCACGATTCGCGCCTCCATTTTTTTTTTTTTTCCCCTGGAAGAGAGCGGGAGACCGAGACCCTGATCGGGGGTACGGGGCTGGGGTGGGAGGCGTCGGGGAACGGGCCGGTGCGGTTGGCTGGGGTCCGGCGTGGATTGCGCGAAGGAGCGGCCTAGGGGACAGGATGGCGGGAGGCCGTACGCCCCAAGCCCGTGCCCCTAGGTGGCCGGCCCGGCCTGCACCCCGAGCCTCGGGGCCTCGGTCCCGGCGGGTCCCCGCCTGAGCCGGACGGCCGCGCGGCCTCGCCCTGGGCCCCTGCAGCCCCGGGCCGGGCTCTTCCCGCCTTGGGCCGGGGAATTAGGTGAAGCTCACTCACTTCCCCCACCCCACGCCCCTTAGATCTCGTGGTCCGAGCCCAGCTGTCCCTGGCAAAGGTGAAGAGATGGAGGCCAGTGGTTAAAGTTGTGGGCTCCGGGGTGCGCGTTCTTGCCCTCAACTTTTGGGGCTGACTATATATAGCTTGAATGGCTGTCCTAGATTTCTGGGGCTCCGTTCACTCTCTGTAGTGCCCCAGTGTCTTATGCGAAGGGTAGATTTGTGTACAATTTACTTCTAACGTGAGTGCGCGAAGACACTGAATACCTTCGTTTTGCGATCTGATGCTGATCAGGTGCTCGGAATCGTGTCTGGCGGCGGGAAGTGCTTCCGTGAGGGTTAACTGTTGAAGTTTCCATGTGTGGCCTTGTGGTCTCCTGTTGTTACTCAGTCTAGGGCGTCCAGCAGGCTAAACAAACACTATCCCCAGTCTTACCCTATTGCTGTTCACGGATTCCTATAGCCAAAATCTGACCACGCACATTATCAAATTATTTACCAAAGTTGATGCAGAAGCTGTTGTCTTCAGTTTTGTTTCATTTTCATGGGCTAGAAAGCTTAAATCCTCCCAAGTAAAACTGAGCGCACAATCTGTTCAGGTTTTTGCATTCCTTATTTGTTCCGGTGATAATCATTTTAAGCTTTTTTGTGACAGGGTCTCACTATGCAACCCTGGCCGGCCCGTGACTCCTGTGTAGACCAGGCTGGTCTCAGAATCACAGGGATCTGCCTACCTCTGCCTCCTAAGTGCTGGAACTAAAGACCATGCCCAGCACTTGGCAACATTTTTATTAAGCCATTTAACTTAGTTTTTTCAAAACGTTGAACTTGGCTTATTTTTTCGTTTTCAGATCCTCTTGTTTTTTGGTGATGTATTTATGTAATATAGTAAGCTGGGTTGCCTGAAAACAGGTTTTAAAAATAATAAAAAGTCACCAATACATCTATAGTCCAGCTGGTGAGAAAAGTAAGGTAGCCCAGGCGTCTGACAAAGTGTCAGCAGCAATCTGCCTCCGGTACACACCAGTGTTAACAGAAGGAATGGCAGGGATAGCAACAGAGAGAAGTTGCAGGTGGTAGTTCAGCAGAGGAGAAAAAATAGTGAGGGGTTCCACGGTAACCACCGGTGACATTATTCATACAGTCTCTGTATGTCAAGCACCCACCTGCCTGCACTTTCTGTGTGCCATCTTGATTAAGCCGCCAGTGACTTAGGTAGCAAGTGCAGAACCTGAACCAAGAAAAACACGGTCACCATCCAAAGATGATACAGCCAGTGAGGCTGAGCGTGGCCTGGGAGTCTGCACTGCTAATAACTGAGCACCTCTGCTTTTCACTTAGCATCAGGGAAACTGTCCTCTTCTGCAAAATGTACAGAACCAAAGTGGGTTTGAAGGACCGCCAGCAGCTCTACAAACTGATCATTAGCCAGCTGCTCTATGATGGCTACATCAGCATCGCCAACGGCCTCATTAATGAGATCAAGCCCCAGTCGGTGTGTGCCCCCTCCGAGCAGCTCCTGCATCTCATCAAACTGGGTAAGCTAGGAGTCGGTGTTTGCCCAGGCGGTTTCTGAGGTTATTTCTGTGTAGTTCCAGTGTCCAGGGATGGGTGGGTGCTGAAGTCCGGCGATGAAGTTGTTCTGATGTGTTTATGCAGCTTGCTGGGCACTCCCCGCGGGTCTCGCTCAGGTGTCATGGCAGTTTCTCTCTCACCTTTAAAGATAATTCTTCTGTCCACTCTGCCACAGTGGCCCGTTTCCCTCATGTCAAACTATGTGAGCGTTGCTTTGTTCTTTGATTCATTTCCGCACTTTCTTCACCTTCCCACTCCCTACTCACCAAAAGACCAGAATCTCTGGCTATCTGCACCTTGTGTTGGTATATCCTGGCACCCATACCCTCCACAGGGTTTGAATGAATTACCCAGCTGGGCTCTCATTGTCACTTCCGACAGTTATGGGAGGTGTGTTTTGTTTAAGGTTGCTTTCAGTCAGCAAGTGGTCTGCACAGTGCCCTCGCTCACACACATTGTTCTGGGTCAGGGTGGAGGCATCCATAACGACGGATATGTCCACAAAAAAAGATGTCACCGCACAGAACACAGCTATTCCCTTGACCTGATAATGCCACTTGTGCAACTGTCCTGAGGGGCAGTGGTAAATTAGATTTTAATTCTGGGTGATCATAAAAGTGTGTGGTGTTGAAGTATAGTGTTGAGGACTGTTTAAAGGACCAAGCTATAGTGCAGGCCTGGGTATGCGTTCAAAAGCAAGAATTGTGTGCATAGGAAGAGTCCACGAAAGTTCATGGGTTTTAATTTCTCATGCAGCAGTTAGTTATTGTTCTTGTGATATATGAGGCTATTTTTAAATCCAACTCTTTCTTGTCAAGGGTCTTTGTGGGGGAGTGTTTGCTATTAATATTATTACCAGTTTTTAGTATTTTGAGTATTTGGGTGTTAGGCCTGCCCGTATGCCTATGCACTGTATGTATGCCATGCCCCTGGAGGCCAGAATAGGGTGTTGGAGTCTCTGGAACTGGAGTTACAGACAGTTGTGATTCGCCAGGTGGGTGCTGGGAATTGAACCAGATCCTTTGAAAGGCAGTCCATGCTCTTGACTGCTGAGCCATCTCTCTCTCCAACCTGTTTTATTTTGTTATTTCTTAGATTTATTTTATGTATATGAGTTTTGCCTGCATGTATGTGAGTACCTGGTGCCCACAGAGGCCAGTCTCCTGGAACTGGAATCATGGGTGGTTATGAGTTACCTTGTGGGTGGTGGGAACTAAACCTGAGAACAAGGACTCTTGACCACTGAGCCACCTTTTCACTGTGTAGCCGTGGCTGGCCTGGAACTCACTGTGTAGACCAGACTGGCTTCAGCTCACCAGCCTCTGCCTCCCAAGAGTAATGGGGTTAAAGGTGGGCTCCTCTACTGAGCTTTTTGTTTGCTTTCTTGCTTGTTTAAGTTCAGATCTCTTATCTCCCAGGCTACCTTAAACTCTGTGTAAGTGAAGTGAGTTTTAAACTCATGATCCTCCTGCCTCAGTCTTCAAACCCCACAAGCATATTATTTATAAACTTAAGTATGGCATTCTTTGAAAAGCATTTCACTAATGTCAGGAGTGTAGCTAATTCACACCAGAGCTGCTACTAACTGATCACAGCCCTAAACATTAGAATTCAGAGCTGGAGATATAGCTCAGTGATAGGCTGTTTGCCCGGCAGGTGTGAGGCCCTGGGTTGTCCTCAGCACCATGGAGAACAAATGTCACCACAGTGCCACTGTTTTTATTGCATTTTATGGGTGTTGGTAAAGGGTGGATTTGACTGTGGAAGTGTGCTTTTCCACAACCCATTCTGCCTGCAGTGTGCATCTTAGGACAGGCAGGTGCATGATTTGTCCAACACTTGATGGCATTGGTAGACACCATTCTCACTTTAGATCAGAAATGGTCTTTGCATTTCACAGCCTTTCTCATGCTCTTCCTTTTGATTCCTTAGGGATGGAAAACGATGACACTGCAGTTCAGTATGCCATTGGTCGCTCCGATACAGTTGCCCCTGGCACAGGGATTGACCTGGAGTTTGATGCAGATGTCCAGACAATGTCGCCCGAGGCTTCTGAGTATGAAACCTGCTATGTCACTTCACACAAAGGCCCATGCCGTGTGGCCACCTATAGCAGGGACGGGCAGTTAATAGCCACAGGATCTGCGGATGCTTCCATAAAGATACTGGACACAGAAAGAATGTTGGCCAAAAGTGCCATGCCAATTGAGGTACCATTCCCGCCTACCATTGCTCCAGACAGCACAGCTTTATGGTTGCCACCTCCGGTTGCCCCGTGGGACTGGGGACTTAGACCAGGTGCCTCTGTACCTTGAGCATCTATCTCTCCCTTTCTTGTTGTCCAGGTCATGATGAATGAGACCGCACAACAGAACATGGAGAACCACCCCGTGATTCGAACTCTGTATGACCACGTGGATGAAGTCACGTGTCTTGCTTTTCACCCTACAGAACAGATCCTGGCCTCGGGCTCAAGGGATTATACTCTAAAATTGTTTGATTATTCGAAGCCGTCTGCAAAAAGAGCCTTCAAATACATTCAGGTTAGAGATTAGAGGCACACACACGTGACTTTTTTAGCTACAATATTTTATGACTATTTTCTTAAGATTCAGGTACTCTGCAACCATTTTTTCCAGGTGGGTGGCACTTAGAGCAGATGCTGTTGGTGTATGGGTCATGGCTGTCTCCCAGGTAGGACTGCAGAGGAGCTAGTCAGTAGATCACACTGTGATCCCAGTGTCAGGAGACTGGGCAGGAGGACCGTCACAAATTCAAGGCCAACCTGCTTCATAGTCGGTTCCTTGCCAGCTTGGGCTATAATAGTGTGAGACCTTCCTTGTCTCAAGGCAGGGGGTGGGGGAGGGTTGAGCCTAGGGACTGGGGAAAAAAACAAGCAAAACTCTCCCTTCCATAAAAGTATACCTTACAGCCACTGAAGTTCTCTGCTGGGACTGTTGACTGTCCCAGAAAAGCAACTTGTGGTCCCTTACTGGGTCTGCATTGCAGAAATGCTTGTGTTTTCAGAAGCGGCCTGCATCAGGCATTGGCTGGGTTCTCCTTAGTATTTGCTGTCCTAGGGCTGTGTGAGTGCAGCTCCCTTAATCCATTTGCAAGGGTCCATCTGATTTCACCCCATGTTCATTTGCAAGTGAAGCTCCAGTCTGGTTTTAGGAATAACTGACCAGAAAATAGTGTTCTGCATCCCAGGACATGCTCTTTTCCTCCTGCCTTCTGCTGCTTGCTGAGCTGGGGGCTGGTGACTGACTCTGTGCCTCTGTCCACGCAGGAAGCTGAGATGCTGCGCTCCATCTCTTTCCATCCTTCTGGAGACTTCATCCTGGTTGGGACTCAGCATCCTACACTTCGCCTTTATGACATCAACACCTTCCAGTGTTTTGTCTCGTGCAATCCCCAAGACCAGCACACTGATGCTATCTGTTCAGTTAGCTACAATCCTAGTGCCAACATGTACGTCACTGGCAGCAAGGACGGCTGCATCAAGCTGTGGGACGGCGTCTCCAATCGCTGCATCACAACCTTTGAGAAAGCTCACGATGGCGCGGAAGTCTGTTCTGCCATTTTCTCCAAGAATTCCAAGTACATCCTCTCGAGTGGAAAAGACTCTGTAGCTAAGCTCTGGGAAATATCCACAGGGCGGACGCTGGTGAGGTACACAGGTGCGTGAGAAGGTGATGCTGGGATTTCTCTATTATCCTGAGGAGTAAGGTACACTGGAGGAAAGGGGTTCAGAGAGGGCTTCAGCCCATCCCTAGACCAATACAGGTAGCCCTGGAAGAGATCACCAGTGTCCGTGTGTGAAGTAGGCCTAGCGGACAGGAAGGAAAGACAGACAGCTCAGTCCCACCGTTAGTCCCTGCTAGTCTAGTGTGTAGCGGCTGTGCCCATGGGCTCCTTTTCTGGTGAGTCCTGAATTTGCCAGTGCGGTACTCAGTTCAAGTCTGGGTACAGTGAGTTCTGTGTGCTGCCTCACCTGCTGTGTCCCACAGCAGCTAGGAGCAGCTAGGACTGTTGTTTGATGGGAGCCTCCTGGGAGGTTCCACGGCCTGCCTGCCTTTGTGAGGTGTGTGTGTCTCACCACAGTAAACACACCAGGGTTGTGGCTTGTAGGGGACCAGTATTGGAAGGCACTGTCTGTAGTTAGCATCTTGGAGAGGGAGATGGAAGAGCTGGTGACAGTCAGGCCACTAGGGTGCAGCACATTCCCTCTCCGTGTGGCACAAGCTAATTGCCTAAAGAATCTTTGGTGACTTTGATACTTTATATGGTGTCATTTTGGAAAACAACTCTTAAAGTTGGGTATTCCTTGCATACAGAAACAAGTCAGTGAGCATGACAATGCTGTTTACAGGTGACAGCCATGCACCAGGCTGCTATCAAGAGCTTGGATTTGTGTGCGCACCTGGAGTGTGGTTTATTGGCGGTTTGTTTTTCTTAAGGAATGTATACATTACTGATTTCCTTATTCCCAAGTCAGCACCCTGGCAGTCAGCGAGCCAGGGTTTCCATTCTGGTTTAAAATTTCCTTAGAATGCCCAGTGGTCCTGAAATCACAGGGGAGAAGGGAAAACTGAAGAGGGCCTGGGATGAGATGTGTTAGTGCATTATGTTTCTATGTAGTAGACAGTTCAGCCATCTTAATGTGTAGATAGGCTGTGGACAGATGAGGAAAAGCTGAGCCCAAATTGAGAAGAAAAGAGTCAAAATTTGCAGTATTTCATAAAAGAAGTCAAAGTGGGTATCAGTTATAAAATGAGCAGCTTTACTGTAACCCAGGAAGTAGAAGTGGGGACCGCTTTCTTGGCACAGCAAACCGTCTCTAACCCAAAGGACTGTGTTATTTTATCCGTGACAGTTTAAGAAGTCTGCATGTTTTACTGATGGCTCATTTGGTAAATATTTCAGAAAGGTAATTTAGTTCAGGTCAAATTTCAAATTTGTGGTTTTTGTCACACTCTTAGGTGAGTCCGTGTGCCTGCACAGAGTGATGTCTGTGGAAGTTAGGGACTTACGCACATTAGAAGCCAGAGGCCACTACAAAGCACTGAGTGGATCTGCCTTGCCCCTGTTACTCCGTGCAGCCTTTGAACACTTGCATGGTGGGGCTTGTGGGGCTTGTGCTTTAACCCTCAGCAGCCTGTGGGTAGGCTCTGGGGGTGAAAACAGGAAGGCTTGAGTTGGGGCGTCATCTATACCCAAAGCCATGGCCCCTGGGGAGTACACACGCTGCTACTGTGAAGGGTGTGTCCTCCTCCATAGCCATGTTCCTCTTACAGCTATCTGCACTGCAAACTCTTGAACGGAAGGAGCACGTGACCTCTAGTTTCTGCAGTTAGAAGTGCAGGGGTTTTTGGGAGGCTGTCCACCAAAATATAGCCTCACTCAGTAGTCAAGTGCCCTGGCCCGGCTGTCTTACTCTCTTACGCGTTACATGGTATTTGCAACACTCTTCAGTGAACACAAGCTGAATGCCCAACAGCAAGAATGGTAGTGATGCCCGACAGTGCCCGGAGCTATGGGTTCACACTCCCTAGGGAGATGAGTGGTGTGTGTAGCACCAGGCTGTTGTGAGCCTCCAAGTGCATGAACTCGAGCGGTTACCTGGGTGGTAGGCCTGGAGGGGGCCAGTGTTGGCAGCTAGAACATGCTGAGGTGTGAGGCTGACATGTTGGTTTGTGTGACAGGCGCGGGTCTGAGTGGACGGCAGGTGCACCGGACACAGGCTGTGTTTAACCACACTGAGGACTATATTTTGCTGCCGGACGAAAGGACCATCAGCCTCTGCTGCTGGGACTCTAGGACAGCTGAGCGCAGAAACCTGCTGTCCCTGGGACACAACAACATCGTGCGCTGCATTGTACACTCGCCCACCAACCCTGGCTTCATGACGTGCAGTGACGACTTCCGAGCTCGGTTCTGGTACCGCAGGTCCACCACTGACTGAGCTGGCCCCACTCCGAGGGTTCTTGTCTCAGGACTCTGCCCTCCTCCTTGGCTCCTGCCACCAGCTGCAGTAGCGAGCAGCTTGTACCATCTCGTGGGTGTGCGGCCGCCCGGCTCCTGCCTTGGATTTGGAAGCTTTTTTTACCTTGATGTAGATCATGGTGGGAAAAGTTGGAAGCAGACCTGTGCGCGTTGTCCTGTTGCAGTGATTTCTGGGTGGTTCCCACCAGCTTGGAAAGGATTTGCCATGGCTTTCGCCTCTTGTGCCTGGAGGAGGACAGAGTGTTGCAGTACTTGGTGGCCCTCGGGAGTCTCAGAGCCTGCCTGCCATCAGGGTCTTTTGCCACTTGAGCCTGTCCTGCCCCTCTGTATCTCCTTCCGATGCGTTTCGGCACATGAGGAGGGCTGCAGCTCTGAGGACCTCTGGGTCTGTGCCCTGTGCAACCACCTTGCAGGGACCCCGGCCCTGTCCTGAGGTGATGTCATCTGGTAATAAAGCTCAGCTCTGTGACCTCGCTGTTCCTTCTTCGCTTCCTTAAACCTAGGCTTTCTAGGAGCCCCATCTGCCACTCCTGCAGCTACTCCTTGGTCCAGCCGTGCTCGCTGAGTGTGAACGGTGTCTGGCTCATCAGCCCAGGGAAGCAGGGTGATCAGGAGCGCCGGGCCTGCCTTGGATAAATAGCAGGTTTGAGACCAACCTGGGCTAGGCCTGCCTTCAATCCCAGCTCTCAGGAGGCGGAGGCAGAGGCAGGTGGGTCTCTGAGATCCCAGCCTGAACTACATGATGAGTTCTAAGACAGCCAGAACTACATAGGTGAGACCTCCGTCTCAAAAAAAAAAAAAAACCAAATAAAATGGATGGTAATGATTTGAAGTCTGAGCCCCAAGAGCCTGCCAATGCCCCCAGCCTGGCAGTAACATCTTTGGGGTACACAGGGTATGTTCTTGGGGGGATTGCTGCAACCTCTGATGCATCTGCCTCTTGAGGTGTCTGGGAAGTAGATGGCGTCTCTCTGTCTGATGTAGGTGAGTCAACCCTGTGAGCCCCTCTTACTAACAAAAGTTTGCTCTCTTTCTCCTCGAGAAAAATCCTGGGGACCTGGAGGCAAAGTGAGGCCACTGGTGAAGTAGTGAGCATGCCACAGTGAGTCACTGCTGTGCGGTGGAGACTCTTGACATAAACATCCCTTCCAGCCTCAGCACTGCGGGGCCACTGGGTTTGGGGTCGCAATCCTAAAGAGCTGTATTTTTGTATCCAAACTTAAGTGTGAACTTACACTTTTATTTTGCATTCGGATTCTACAGTATTTAAACATGGCCACCTGGGGGTGCTACCCACAAGATTATACGAAAGCTACTGGATAGGGACAAGGGCAGCCACTCTACCCACAAGCTCCCCGCTTGTCCCTCTGACTTCCCTGTTGCTTTCCTGCTGTGACACTGCAGACAGAGGCTCAGCTTCTGCACTCCCAGCCCAAGCTGGCCTGATGCCACGTGTGAATGAAAGCAGTGATGACCTCCGAGCTGTCCCTGGGCGAATCTCTGGCTGTGGCTTCAGGACTGACATTTACAAGACCACAGTTCTCTGTTTTCAAATAGTTTCCTCCCCTTCCCCTGTCCCTTCCCTATCCTGCCTTTTAACAGCTGGTGTAGATGTCGAGACTCATGGACACGGTGTTCACATCTGGATAACTGTTGTGCATCACACCAGCATTTGGGTGATGAATTTATCTGGTCAGAATAACCTATGCCTTCTGTTATTTTTAAAAGATGTGATTTCTAAAATAAACTTTTTTTATATAATGGTGCCATAAAGATAGTTTGTGTTTTTGGAGATTGCAGTGAGCCTTCCCGCACTTGAGTGGCAGTTCTTAAGCCATAACGGTGGGCAGGACATTTCACAGCTTGTTCTAGAGGTCCTAGCCGCATTCTGGTGGGCTCTTTGTTCTGCTGAACAGAAAGGATTCGTTATAGTTCCCTTCCTTCAGATCAGTTGAAGGAAGCTTTTTTGCTTTGTATCTGTTTCCTTTAGAGAAGCAAGTTTGGAGCGCCTGGTCTCAGCTCTGGCCTTGACTTGGTAGGTGGTGGAGGTAGCCATTGTCGTGGGATGTCAGTGCTCTTGGGTGTCCGAAGGCCTCAGCCCCACTCTCTAACCGGCACCTGAGGGAGTGGAGTGTGTGTGAGAGTACTGTGATGTCACACAAGCTCAGGGGTGAGGGACAGCATTTGCTCCCAGGGAGACTTAGAAAGTAAATGAGTCATCTGGAGACCCTTCAGTTCAGATGTGAGCAGAATTTATTTTTAAGATCTAAATGGTAGAACTAGCAAGAGAAACAAGAAAACATGCAGAGATTAGCAGTGTTGGAGCCCACAGCTGTGCCAGCAGGGTGGGCATTCTTTGTCGCGGTTTCTGGGCAGAACTAAAGCTAGGCCCCATGCGGTAAGGACTTTGGTCAAGACCCAGAAAAGAAAATAATAAGGGAAAGGTAAGTGTAGGTTATTTGGTTTTTTTAAGTCACAGAAAGTAAGATTGAGCCGCCTTCCCCCCCCCCCCCAACAGGAACTTTCCAAAAATGCACATGCTGTGCACTAGCCTGGGAGTTTACAGGAAGAACGGGATGGTGCAGTGGGAAGGTCCCTGAGAGCCATCCTGCGTGCAACTGATACCACCAGCCAAACCCTGGGAGAAAACCAGCAGTACGCAGCCTCGCGTGCCAGCAGAGAGCTGAACCCAGCCCTCCCAGGTGGGTGCTGAGCTCAGTCAGGGTACATGAGGACACAAGCCAACCAGCGAAAACCAACAGACATGCAGAGTTAGGATCACCCATGCAAAATTATGTCCAAAGTGCCAAGACTAAGAAACCTGGGGCTAGAAATGGAGCCCAACTAGTAGATTTCCTAACCCGGGTTCCCTCCCTGACATGACAGGAACCAGGCTTGGTAGCACACGCTGCAGCCCCAACACTTGGAAAGTGGATTCAAGTTCAGATGTTCCCTTGGCTACGTACAAGTTGAAGGCCAGACTGTCCCAGAAGTAAACTAAAGCCTATGTAGTGGCACACTTGTGTAACCTCAGCAGCCTGGCAGCTGAGGTAGGAAGATGGCTGCGAATCCAAGGCCAGCCTAAGCTCTAGTCACTTCTCAGCAGCCAAGAGTGTGTGTGTGTGTCTGTGTGATTTGTGCATGGTGTTTTGCCTGTGTTTCTGTGTGTGAGAGGGTGCCCTTGGAACCTCTGGACACGTGCTTGCCATGGACTACCCTAGCCGGGTATGGGGATCCCTGGGATAAGGGTCTTTGAAGACTAGGTGGGTAAGGATTCGTCGACGACAAACAGAAACAAACACAGAGACAGTTTGAATCTGAGTGTATTTTGCGGCTCTAAAGCAAGGCTTTTTATATAGAATAAAACAAATATCTTTTCAGAATATGTGTTCAGTGAAGCCAACCCAGATAGAACGAATGGCACAGTAGAGCACAGAATCATCCAAGGCTAACCAAAACAATAAGTCACAAAATCATTCAAGGCTGACCAAAGCATAAAATCATTCAAGGCTGACTGCCTATTTCTTAGATCAGGTCAATAAATTTTTATGGCCAGTTATTGTTTAGCATCTATTACCTAGTTTTTGTGAGTCTTTGAAATATTGAGCTATTTTGACTCTTTCTTATTAAAAAGCTTTGTTTATCAAACATTTAAGCCCACTCCCAATGACACATACAGCCATATGAAATTTCATTGTTGGGAAAGTTTTTATCGTAATACTATTTACTTATGTGAATGATTTGAAAAGTGCTGGCTCTCCTGGAGACGAGATCATGGCTAGTGACCCCTCTTAGGAGATGGTTTCTTATTTATTTTTTTTGTTTAAAATGTCAGAGTAGGCTTTCAGGAACATTTCAATAATATGAAAAAAGAATAGAAGAATAGAAAATTTTTTCAATATTTTTCCCCGGCCAAGAGTTCCTCAACCATTTCCAGGAAAACCCCTTCTTTTGAAGTTATCTCCTCAGTCTGTGGAACTTGTCACACAGAATCCACTGGATTTGGCATGACACCTGCTGCCATGCCCAGCCTCTGGACAGATGCCACCATGTCCAACCTCCTTGTTTTGTTTTGTGTTTGCTTATTTGTTTGTTTTTTTGGTTTTCCGAGACAGGGTTTCTCTGTGGCTTTGGAGGCTGTCCTGGAACTAGCTCTTGTAGACCAGGCTGGCCTTGAACTCACAGAGATCCTCCTGCCTCTGCCTCCTGAGTGCTGGGACTAAAGGAATGTGCCACCAATGCCCAGCTCTCCTTCTGGTTCTTATTATAGGGAATCAAAAACGTTTACTGAAGTCAACAGTACAAGAAAGCTGTGGTTGCCAGGGTCTGGGAAAGGGATGTGAGGAAAGATAACTTAATAGAGATGGGTTTCTCATCACGGAGATGAAATTAGCTTAAGTTAAGGGTGACAGCTTTACATCTCTGTATATTCCTTTCAAATCTTATTTTTGCAACCTAAAAAAAGTGAATTGGGGAATGGAGAGATGGCTGCATGGTTAGAAGCACTGGCTGCTCCTCCAGAGGACCTAGGCTCGCTGTCCAGCACCTACAATGCTGCTAACAAATGACTATGACTGCAGTTCTAGGGATCTGCTGCCCTCTACTGGCCTCTGTGAGCACTGCACACACATGGTGCACAGACATGCATACAGGCAAAACATCCACACATAAAATAAAATCTCAAAGGTGAATTTTATGGTACTTGAGTTACATCTAAATAGATGTTGGTTTGTTTATCTAAGACAGGGTCTCATTGTGTAGACCAGACTAGCCAGGAACTCACTGTGTGTCCCAAGGCTAGCCCCAAACCATAGCAATCCTCCTGCTTTAGCTTCCTGGGTGTTTGTGTTACAGCTGTGAACCATCGATATCTGAGATGATTTCTTCATTCTTAAAAACAAACGAACAAAGAAAGAAACCCAAAAGGTCGAGAGAGAGAGAGAGAGAGAGAGAGAGAGAGAGTGAGAGAGAGAGAGAGAGGACCTAGCAGTATTGAGTGAGCACTTACTATTCTTTCAGAAGACCCAGGTGTGGGTCCTCAGCACCCACAGGATGGCTTGTCAGCAGCTGTAACCCCAGTCCCAGGAGATCTGATATCCTCTTCTGACCTCTGCAGTCACTAAGCACACCTGTGCTACAAGGCATACAGGAAGACAAAGCACTCCTGCATACAAATTAAAAAGATACAAATTCAAGTCTGCAGGGTCAGTGAGGTGGCTCTTGTCACCAAGCCTGAGGATCTGAGTTCGATCCCCAAAACCCCAGGTCTCTAAGACAAGTAACCGTGGCAAGGAGGATGGACTCCCCACCACGTGTAAACCCACGATGGGGCCTGGTGTGTAGACTCATGGACTAGCCTGCAAGCTCCTCTCCATCCTGGTTTCACAGCTTCTCCAGGTGCTAGAAGAGAACTCAACCACAAGAAACAAAAGAGGGGGGAGGGGCTCAAGGGGCAAACCCCAGAATTCTGCCGCTAGTGAGCGCTGCACTAGTACCACAGATACCGCCACTGCTGATGTCGCAAAGTCTTATTTTCCGACCATGCATATTTCCATAATGTATTTTGACCACACACACATAAATATGATTTTTTTTAATGATTTCAGAGTGTGGTGTGCTTGGTACCATTCTAACTGCTGGTGAAGCGCCATGGACCTCTGCTTGGAAAGCCTCACGTGCAGAACGGGCTTTATAAGTGAGTGAGGGCAGACTAAGAAAGCCCACGGAAACAGGATAAAGGGAAGTCGGGTATTTATTGGAGAATCACTCACGAATGACAAGGCAAGGCCGAGAACCGCTGAGGTCTCCTGCCCCTGGGCGCTGGAAGCTGCCATCCTCCGAGACCACCACCCAGGAGAGAGCGGGAGAGATCCCTCCTCTTCCTTATGAGAGATCAGGCCCGCACTCCAGAGCCACGCCCTAAGGCTGGTACCCGAAACTGGATGAGAGAGAACACTCTCGCTTCCCTTTGGCTGAGATTGGACCACACATGTGTCCCCTCCTATTTCCCTAACAAGTGGCGACATTTGGGCGTGGGTCCGGGGTGTTTGTAGTTGTGAGGATCCCTGCCTTCTAGGAATGCTATTCACTCTCTGGCGGTTTCTCAGCCACCCCACCCCACCCTACCCATGTATTAGGGACATCGTATGTTGTCTAAGAAATTAGTATAAGCAACGAGTGCTTTTAAGTTGAGCTCATTGTCAGGCTTAGGCTTAGCTCCCTTGCTTAGCGTGCTCAAGAAGGCCCTGCGTTTGATCCCGGTGCTGGTACACGCCTGTAATCTCATCACTTAGGAGGTGGAGGCAGGAGGGACAGAAGTTCAAGGTCATCCTCAGCTACATAGAAAATGTGAGGCCGGCCTATCGGGACTCTGCTTCAAAACAAAGGGAGAAAGAAGGAAGTGGGTGGTGAAGGGCTCTTGAGAAAACATCTGGGCTCAAATCAGTGACTGAAAAGACGGCTCCACAGTTTAGAGGCCAGAAACCGGCTCTAACTGCAGTTCCAGAGGATCTGGCGCCCTCCTTCGGTGTCTTTAGGAACTGCATGCACACGGTGCGTTTACGTACATACAGACAAAAACATAAATAATACTAAAAAAAAAAAAAAAAAATTAAAGAATTGAACCAAACTTCACCTGCCATGAGAAATCTCCAGCTCTGTGAATGACAGGAGTGGCCTTTAATTCGCCACTGTGTGCAGAGAGCGGGCTCAGTTCTTGTGTTTGTATGCTGAGGCTATCACCCCAGCCCTGGCC